GGTTACCCTGGCTATGCTAAGACACATGGGGAGCCCTGGTGTTGGTGTCTGCCTGCTCCACTGTACTGGGGCACAGGATACCCCACTGTTTGCTGAAGTGGGGCTTGCTGCTGGCTTGCTGGGATGCTTTGTGCTCCTCTTTCACCCAAGTGAGATGAAACTTTCTTGCCAATACTCCGTCTCTTGGGCTAAAAGATTGTTTCACCCTGTCTTTTTGCTGGTTCTGCTGTTCCAGGATTTGTTTTTGGGCTCTATTTTATGGTTGTTTGGAGGTGAGTAAGGGAGAGTTACAGCAATTTACTACTTATTCTGCCATCTTGGCTCCTGGAAGTCCTTTATAGAGCATTAGACTGAATTTTTTTGAGTGGTTGTGAATCTCTTTTAGCACTCTGCAATGTTTCAGGGATTAACATATCCTGCACAATTTCATTCAAAAACAAAGACATCTAGAAGACCTCCCAAGGGAACTCCTCTTCTAATTTGACTCTTTGTTGGACATCATCCATAACAGTGACAAACATCAAAAGTAAGCATTTTATTATGTTCTGCCTCATCTGATAAAAAATAACTGAAACATCTCCCATAAATTTCTACTTTAATGCCTCATGGTAAGGAGATGACCCTGGATTCTGAAATGCTATGCTAGGAAATCAGTATTAGGCTACCCACAGCAGTTATCAATTAAAGAAAAATACAAAATATTCCTTAGTCTTATGTGGCCTCCTTCCACTTCTCCAGGGTCAGAGGGTACTAAGAATCACAGTTCTCTGACCACCATCACTGTAATTTACCTCAGGTTTTTATAACAAATTCTTTTCACCATCAGTCTTGGGTATACTTATGTACAAGAGATACAAATGGCAAGAAAAGGAAAACAGATGGGCAAAACAGCTAGATAAGACAAAGTACATATAGAAAAGGTTTGTGGTGGAGGCCACACAGTTTGAGGGTATTGGGGGAATCAATTAATTCACAAGGTAGCTAAATGAGAAGGTGTCAGAGATATAGGAAAAAATCTCAGGCCCTTAGTACAAAAAAGTGGGGTGGGGAGGGCTTATGAGAATGTTAATAATTACTGATTTATTTGCCTACATAAAGTTTATATATCTATATAAAGTTTTTTCCTAAATAAGAATATTTTACATATGCATCAAGATCCTCTTTGTTGAGGGTATTAATGTGGAAGTCTTTCATAAGTAATAATGCATAGCAAGTCACATCTTTACCATCACACAACTAAAAACAATGACATCACTATGCTTACTGTTTGATTATAAAAAAGCTTTTAATTCAGGAGAAAAAAAATGACATGTTAAAGTCTCCCTTTGATTTCATCAGTATGAATGGCATCAAAGAAGATGCATTAACATCTGCTTTGCAACTGCATCCCAAGTACTGTGGAACCTTTCCATTTGACTTGCAGATGAAACCTTCTATATGGTTGTCTTTCCCCTTACAATGTGAGCTCCTTGACAGCAGAGGCTATCCTAAATATCTCCTGTACTTAGCACAGTGATTTGCACATAGTAAGTACTTAGTAAATGTGTAATGGGGGTCTGGCATATGTGTAGACACCAACAGTTTGCTAAGATGGTATCATCCACATGGAACCCAGTAGAGAACTGCTTCTAGGAGAATTAAGACTGGAGCATGGGTGGACACTTTGGATTGGCCTATCGTGGTTGGCATGAGCCATTTTCAATTGTTGCATAGACAGAACTGTTGTCATCTTTAAAGGCCCTGAGCCAGTATCAGCTGGGGCTGTTGTGGCATTTGTAATTAGAGGGAGGTGAGTCCTTCATACACACCATGCAATAACGGGGAGAGGACCTTGGGGCTGCCTCTTCCACTCTTCCCAAGACATGTGAATGTGAGAAAAAGAGCTGGGCATTGGCCTTTTCCCTTGTTATTGTTCGTTCTAAGTCCACAAAATGGAATCTCAAATTCACTAGGAACTCAAGCCATAAGAATTTAGGAGTCCAGGAATACAAGCTAGACAACTAGTAAGAGGCTGAAGGGCATGGATAAAGGGACTCCGACCCAGCAGAAGGCAGCACTGTGCTAGTTTTGGTTGGACTGATGCTATGTGGGAGTTGAGCTAAGATATGAGTCAAATTCCTTCCTCACCACCTGCCTATCCAGGAGACTGAAGGGGTTTATGCCCCAAAAATATTGGGGGGAAATGTCTCTATTCTTGTTCTTATCATATCTTTGAAGTAAATATAACCTTGTAAAAGCTAATCTGATATTAAATGGAATGGTGGGTACTAGTCACTGGCCCCCTCTAAATAAAGAAACAAAGCTAGTGAGGGCTTGAGTCAATGGAAGAGAAATTGATAATTCATCAGGCTACCTGAGAATCCTGAGGGGGGGAAGATTTATGAGACCCAATAGCAAATGTGGATTATATAGGGCTACCTTAATAAGTAGTGTTGCTTACTCAGTTATTTTCATTGTTTTATCTTTCAAGGAATCTCGAATAATTTTGATTCGTATATGAGAGATACTCTGTTGGAATGTATGATGAAAAATCATTTGTAACATGGTTTATATTGACCACACTTTTTCAGGACTGGGTCTCATAAATCCCAGGCTGAGGGTATACAAGATCTCCTAGGAACTGAGGAAACATGATAACATGATAACATGTAGCACCTTGTGAGGGTATATAGTATGTGAACCCACCATTGTTAGGAGGATGTTGCTACCTTCGATGGACTATAAGCCTAACTTTGCTTGCGTATTTGCTTATGGAGCGATCAGTCTGGAGAGAACTTGCTGTTTTTCTTACTATTACTACCTCACAATCACTTCAGAGGCCCTGTGAATTTATCCACTCTCCATTTTCTCTTGTTCTCCCTGTTTTATTACTGCCCAACAAACTGGTGTAGCTTTTCTTTTGAAGTCTTTGACTCTTTTAAGTCTTGTTTAGTTGTTTGTACTTTAAAGATAGTTTTGGTCTTCAGATTAGCCAGTTTTATTGTATTCTGAGTGAGTGTTATAGAGGGCCTGGATAGGGAGAATCACAGTGATTAAGTAGGGCGATACAGAATGGGCATAGGGGATAGTCCCTGTCCAATGTTAGTGAAAGAAAATATTTCTTCACTCATCTGGAGATTATGAGTCTTTGATATGTGAAGGCAAAGAAATGGAAATTGCAGGGATGTCCATCAATTGGGCTGAACAAGTTGTGGTATATGACTGTGATAAGATACTACTGTGCTATAAGAAATGATGAGCTCAATGATCTTAGAAAACCATGGAAAGACTTTCATGAAATAATGAACAGTGAAATGAGCAGAACCAAGAGAACATTGCATGCAGTAACAGCAATATTGTTTTAAGAACAACAAGGGAGTAGGTTTCGGGAAGGAGGGGAACACACCAAACTTTACAAAATACTTCATATACTCCCCTAAGCTAAAAATTGTGCGGCACTTTGGTTTCAGATCCCTGCAATTCGGCTCCTACATGTTCCTCTCCATCCCAACAAAACTTTTTGAGTCATAACTGAAAGCAACTAAATGTAGGAAAACCCCTGAGCAACGGGATGACAGATATTTTCAAACCCAAATGATCAAGTGAATAGGTTATTTCGTCTATCATAAATACCCAAATTATCTATAAAGGACATATGAAGAAAGATGCTATTTGCATCCAGAGAAAGAAGTGATAAATAGTAGTATGTATAGAATAATAATATACCTATTTATGTCTAATAATGGCCATCTCTAGGGTGGGGGTAGGGGAAGGGAAGTGAAAAAAGTAATTTACTTAATAACTCTTGTACATTTGGTATATTTCAAAAGAATAGCAAATAGACTTGAAGTTTCATGTGCAATCATCTTTTTTTAAAATTATACTATGTTATGGAAATGTTTGTTTTATTCCATAAATTAAAAATAAAAATAAATTTAAAAAAATAACAATTTGGAACTATGCCCAAAGGGCTATAAAACTGTGTGTACTTTTTGACCCAGCAATACCATTACTAGGTCTGTATCCCAAAGAGATTAAAGAAAAAGGAACAGGATCTCTATGTATAAAATATTTATAGTAGCTCTTTTTGGGGTGGCAAAGAATTGGAAATTGAGGGGAGGCCCATCAGTTGGGGAATGGCTGAACAAATTGTGGCATATTATTATGATGGAATACTATTGTATGATAAGAAATCATGAGGATAGTTTCAGAAATCCTGGGAAGACTCATAGGAACTGTTGCAGAGAGAAGTGAGCAGAACCAGGAGATCACTGTGCACAGTAATAGTGATATGGTAATGATGATCAACTGTGAAAGACAAAGCTACTTTTATTCCAAAGCACCCATGATGAAAAATGCTATCTACCTCCAGAGAGAGAACTGATGAACTTTGAGTGCAGATTGAAGCATACTTTTTTACTTTCTTTATTTTTCTTATTTGTGTGTGTGTTTTCCTTTGCAATATGGCTAATATGGAAATATGTTCCATATGACCTCACGTACAATTGAAATCAAATTGCTTGCCTTTTAATGGAGGGAGAAAAGGAAGGAGGGAGGGAGAAAATCTAGAACTAATTTTTTTTAAATGTTTACATTTTTTACATGTAATTGGTAAATATTTTACGAAATGAAAATAAATTTAAAATATATTCACCCATTTGGGGAGTGAGAGAGTGAGGAAATGGGTTTCGGGAAGGAGGGGAACACACCAAACTTTACAAAATACTTCACATACTCCCCTAAGCTAAAAATTGTGCGGCACTTTGGTTTCAGATCTCTGCAATTCAGCTCCTACATGTTCCTCTCCATCCCAACAAAAATTTTTGATTCATAACTGAAAGCAACTAAATGTAGGAAAACCCCTGAGCAATGGGATGACAGATATTTTCAAACCCAAATGATCAATTATGCAGAATGTCCTAAATACATTATTTCCAAAAATTGCCTGGGACCTAAATGGAAATATATTGAGCAGGAGTAGGGGCAAGTGATGAGAATACTGAAAGTAAATGTCCACTCACCTTCTGTGGCGGGGTCCCAATAAGCATCTCCAGGTAGTAGCCCCTTCCAGAGTCCCCTTGCAAATTGTCTATCATGGGCAAGAAGTTAACTAATCCCCTCGTTGGGTCCAGCGCTAAAGCTAGCCCCTCTGCAGCCACATCCCGCAGGCGTTCCCTGGACTCATTCCCAAGTGGTGCAGCTAGCGATGCTGTTAATGGGGGTGGGCGAGGAGAAGCCCCATTTAGCTTGATGGGGGAGATTTTCAGGGGTAAGGTGAAGGGAGTTGGAGCCTGAGCCAGTGCCTGAGTGGTCCAGCGGAATAATAGCTGCAACAGAAGCAGTAATTGCGTCTCCACTAGAGTGCACATTGGTAGCAGCTACTTTGGGTACTTTGCTGGAAACAAAAAGCAGGAGGGAGGCAGCCACAGCTAGGCTCGCGGGACTGTGGTACGAGAAGGAGGAGCCAGCATGGGAAGACTTCCCCGACTCCCTCCAAGAGGAATCACCCCCTAGCTTCACCTGGCCACTGAGAAGTAGAGGGAAAGCTTTTTTTTTTTTTTTTTTCTCCTCAGCTCCCAGAGCAGACTGGCGGTAATTCTGTCTCCAGTACTGAACATTCTTTCCCCACCCACTTTTGTTTGTCTTTCTCCTCCTCCCCTAAAAACAATAAGTCCAGGAATTTCCCAAGACTGGAACTAAGACTGAACTAAGACTCAGGCCTGAAAGGGGTAAGAAAACATTCCAGAACTCTTAAAAGGACAGAAACCTAAAATTATTCCAATTAATAGATAAATCTGTGACCTGCTTCCCCATGTGGTTTGCGGAAAAAGGCCAGTCTTTACACCACAACTCATAAAAGTCTTCCCAGTATAAGAAGACTAGCACACACCAGAGGTAAGGCAGGAAAATCTGCTGTGTCACTTTCATAGCATGGTAGGTCAACAATCTTTTTGCGCTCTAGGATGTTCAGAATTTCCGGCTTGCTGGCTTAAGCTGACTCCAAGTTTTCGTCTTTTAAAGCAAACATTATTCTGATCGTCAGGATGATATATTTAGAAGTATGGAATCTGCAAATGGAGGTAGAATGAAGAGATTGGTATAACAAAACAAAAACTTTGGATGCGCTAACCTGGCCAGTGCCTGTTTTTGGTGGCCTTATGTTTCCTCCATCCCCCAAATACAACTTTAATCATTTCTGGACTTGTCTCTCACTGCTGAAAAAAGAATCTTTCCCTTACTTTTCATAAAACCAGTTGTTGGCTGCCATCCAGTGTGTAAATATAAATGTTTTAAATTATACATACGTAAAATAGGGCAGACAGTACTACCTCCAACTCTCCTTAGCTAGAGGAATTTGTAAGACCTTTGAAACAAGAACCCCACCAAACACATTCCTTAACCCAATCCGTGATTTCTGTGGTATCCGGCTTATTATTAACTTAATAAATGGGAGGAATAATTACACAAAGATAAAATTCTTTGATTTCACTGAAATGGGAATAGGAAAACTATTTCTCTGTCCATCCATTGAATTATGTTAGTTATTTTAAAAACAAGTTTAATAGATACTTCTGGCTAGGTGATGGGCAGTCCAGCATTCTCACTATTATGGAACAGGTTAAAAAAAAAAGAGTACCAGAGAAATGATCAAGAAATCTAAAGAGAAACTACATAGGTCTGCACAAAGATATTGTCAGAAGCCTACAGACATAGGGAATGGGTTCAGCAAGAAAAGGCAGGTGTTGGAACATAGTTCGTAGGAGCCTTTCAGTACAGGGATCAGAGAAATTGCATAACCATGGACAAGAAGACTAGCACAGACCAGAGTTAAGTCAGGGACACCTACTATGTCTTACCCCAGACCAGAATCAGGAACTCAGTCTAGTAGATCAATAATCCTTTTTTTTTTTTTTAACCTTAGGATGTTGAAAGTTTTCAGCTTGCTAGCTTAAGCTACTCCCAAGTTTTTGAAGAACATAGACACAGTAGTCAGTAGCAGGACCTTGTATAATACAAATTAGAACCAATCAAAGCCCCACTTTTCATTCTTTTGTTGTTGTTCAGTCATTTTGTAATCCTGTCCAACCCTTTGTGACTTTTTTGGGGTTTTCTTGGCATAGATACTGGAGGGGTTTGCCATTTCCTTCAACAACTCATTATACAGATGAGGTAATTTAGGCAAACAGGGTTAAATGACTTGCCCAGGTCACACAGCTCTTAAGTGTCTGAGGCCAGATTTGAATTCAGGAAGAGAGGAGTCTTCCTGACTCCAGACCTGACTATCAATCCACTTTACCACCTAACTGCCTTACCTTTCCTTTTAGAAGTGTGCAAAGCCCTGCCCTGACCCAAAAACCCAGTTAAGGAAATAAGGTGTGAAAAATAAACAGAAGTAATTGATAATGAAGATATGGTTCCAGAGAGGCCCAAGACACAAAGCCCAAAGAACATTACAACTTTTAAAAGGAAAATCTCAAAGAAAAACATAGCTTTCCGATGAGACCTACTATAATATTTTTTAGTATTTTATTTTTATTTTTCCCCAGTTACAAGTAAAAACAATTTTTAACATTCATTTTTAAAACCATGAGTTCCAAATTTTCTCTCTTCCTTCCTCCTCAAACTGCCCCCCCCCCACTGAGAAGGCAAGCAGTTTGATATAGGTTATACATGTGTAGTCTTGCAAAATATATCCATAATAGTCATGTTGTGAAAGAAAACATAGACCAAAAAAAAAAAAACCTCAAAAAACAGACTCAAAGAAAAATAAAGTAAAAAATGAGTGTGCTTAAGAATGTATTCAGACATCATCAGTTCTTTGGGGATGGATGGCATTTTTAATCATATCCTGCTCATCATTTCTTATAGTACAATAGTCTTTCATCTAAATCAAATACCACAACTTGTTCAACCATTCCCCAATTGCTGGGCATCCCTTCAATTTCTAATTCTTTGCTCCAAGAAATGAACTATAAATATTTTTGTAGATATAGGTCCTTTTCCTTTTTTTCTTATCTCTTTTGGGTACAGACCTAATAGTGGTATTCTAGGTCAAAGAGTATGCGTGGTTTTATAGCCCTTTGGGCATAGTTCCAAATTGCTCTACAGAATGGTTGAATCCATTCACAACTCCACCAACAGTGCATTAATGTCTCATTATTCCCACATCCCTTCCAACATTTGTCATTTACCTTTTCTGTCCTATTAGCCAATTTAATAGGTATAAGGTAGCACCTCATAATTGTTTTAATTTGTATTTTTCCAATCAATAGTGAGTTAGAATATTTTTTTATATGGCTGTAGATAGCTTTGATTACTTCATCTGAAGACCGATCTTCTCTTTTGATCATTTATCAATTGGGGAATGACTTTTTTTTTTTATAAATTTGACTCAGTTCTCTATATGTTTGAGAAATGAGACCTTTCTCAGAAAAGCTTCAATTCCCCCCCCCCCCACAATTACTATTGCTGGCTGCATTTCCCTCCATCCTATCCCTCTCCCCCCTAGAATTCTTGGCAAAGAGGAACCAAGCATTTGAAAATGTTAATATAAATGAGATCTATGTTATATAGGAAAGAATTAGAAATGAAATGAGAACTTGGAGGAAAGAAATAGGAGGAGAGCTAACAGTTTAGTAAGGGAGGTCCAAACCTTACCAAAGAAACAGATATCCTGAAAATTAGAAAGTATTAAAGACAAATCAATGATTCCTTGAGACAGCAATGAATAATAGATAAACAATGAAAATTCTAAAAAAAAAAAAAAGAGAGAGAAAACTATCATATCTCCTGTCAAAAACAACTGATTATAAAACAGGTCAAAGAGACATAATCAGTCAATCTTTGGACTATATGAAAAATGCAATAAAATAGAAGTTTCAATGCCCTATTTAACAAGAAATATGAGAACCAGAGTGAAAAGTGAAAATGGAAACAATTAGTCATTTCCTGGAAGAAAACCAAAACATAAACACCCAGAAATGTCATAGCAAAATACAGTACTTCCAGGTCAAAGGAAAAAATAATACTGCAGGCAGTCAGAAAGAAAGAGATCAAGTAAGAAGGAGCCATAGTAAGAATCACAAAACACTAGGCAGCTACCACACTATAGAGGAGAGAAGAATTTGGAATACAATTTTCTAAAAGGCAAAAGAAAATAGCTTACAGCCACAAATAACTGTCATGGAAAAACAAAATTATCCTAAGTGGAGAGGAGAGGAGGAGAGATGGATCTTTTATGAACTAGAGGGCTTCCAAGCATGCCTGATGAAAAGGTTAGAGATGAGAAGATATTTTGAAATGCAGTCAGAAGAATCAAGAAAAAACAGAAAGGAAAATATACTTCAGCAATTGGAAAGGACTATTTGATGTTAGAGTATTTTTATTCTAATAAAGGAAAAGGTAACAAATGTCCCTTCAGAACCCTGAAGGAGTCCCTCCCTGAAGGAGGGAGTTAAATAAGACAGAAAACGATCTTCAATGGTCATGGAGGAAATTAAATAAGATAGAAGACCAGGAAGTGGTTTTGTTGTGCTTTTATGATCTTAAGAGAAAAAAAAGAGGAGAAAGAAAAAAGGAAGTGGTATTTACTACCATAAATAATTGGAGCATCTGAGAAGATTCTAAAAGCATGGAAGTGGTGGGTGTATCAGAAATCACATGAACCTCATTTTCATCTGAAGTGAACAAAAAATATTTTATGGACAGTTTAGGTGAAATGTAAAATGTCTAGCAGTCTTATGAACTGTTTTATATTCTAATAAGGGTTAAATGTGTCAACCTCACAGTAGATTCTAACAGTAGCTAAAAATTAAAGTAACAAATTCTGTTATAAGTCATTCTGTTAATGCATACTGTGAATCTTTTATGTTTAGTATTTCATTTGTGTTCTTTCTCATACCTATCCCACACATGATTCATTTCATGTTGAATACTTTATTATTCCGCTTGAACCTCCTCCAATGTGGTCTGGGCTCATTCTTTTGCTTAGAACATATTAAAACTGCTTTCAGACTTAGTGCCAGGCTGTTGATTTTGCCTAAAAGTCCTCTGAGATCTAACTTTTTCCTCATGCTTTACTGGTGGACAATCATGGACATCTCAGAGGTAAGGAAGCTGCATTCAGCTGAAGTAAGAGGGTGTATTTGCTGACTATACTTGCTGAAAATCCTTCCCTTGCTATGGCCAGATACATTTCTATTTATTAACTGTGGATGAACTATGTATATCTGATTTCATTCCAATCTCCAACTAATTACTAGCATAATGGTCTGGCCTGAAACATGGGCTAACCCTAGGCATGAGTCATAACTTAAGCTTTGGATTAGCCCTAAATATTATCTGCATTGAGATAACAGCTGAATCCATGAGAGCTGATGAGATCACCAATAGGAGTAATACAGAAGGAGAAAAGAAAAGATCCAAAACAGAGCTTTGGGAGAACCTGAATGAAAGTCCAGCAAAGAAGA